AGGTATACTGGTGCTGCTCTGCCTGCGCGGCTGCCGCCTCTGCGTTCTTGCTTTCTCTTGTCCGCGGTCCGCCCAGGAGCGGCCGCTGGCCTTGTTGGCCATTGATGTGCAGCTGGCGGGGGCGTGTCCCGCTGCGCTGTGCCACCGCACCGCGGTGCGAGTGGCGTTGGGACGGCCTCGCGGTGCCCGTCCGCACACGCGGCCTTGCGCGCTGTGCGTTCGCCTCTCTGGGCTTGGGTCCCCGCGAGGGCTGTGGCGTGCACGCTGCCCATGCGTGGCCGCGTGACGCGTTTTGTCCCACCCGCCCGCGCCCTGGGGGTTCTTCGCGCCCCTGGCGCCTCGGGCGTCGCTGCGACGCGCGTCGGGGCCACGCTCGGGGCGCCGCACCCCATGTCTGGGGAGCGGCGTTCCCCTGGGCCGCGGAGCGGGCCTCGGTATTTCTTCGCCCTCCCACGGCGCGTGGGGCTGGCATTTGTGTACACATATATACATACATAGATTTGTATATACGCATAGATGTATATCAGTCACGATGCGCCTGGGCGGCCACGCGCGCGGCGGCTAATTGTCATTCACGCGTTGTGTTGTTCCATGCAAGACGCGCGTGGGCTGCCGCGCGCGAGGCGGCCCATTGCCCCTCGCGACTTGTTTTTCTTTGTCCACCGTTTTTTCCATGCCAGATGCGCGTGGGCCGACGCGCCCGCGGCGGCGCATGGGCCCGCGCGCATTGCGTTTCATCCGTGCCAGGTGCGCGTAGGTCGCCGCGCGCGCGGCGGCCGTGGCCCTTCCCGCATGGTGTTTTCCCTTGCAAGATGCGCGTGGGCCGCCGCGCGCGCGGCGGCCCATGGCCCATCGCACATTGTGTTTGTTCTATACCAGATGCGCGTGGGCCGCCGCGCGCGCGGCGGCACTGGCCCCTCGCGCGCTGTTTTTTCTATGCAGGCTGCACGTGGGCCGCCGCGCTCGCGGCGGCTCTGCGCCGCTCGCGCGTTGTGTTGTTTGGTTTGTGTTCAGGCAGAGTGTGCGTGGACCATCGCTCGCGCGGCGGCCCTGGTTCCTCGCGCGTTGTGTGCTTCCGTGCAAGATGCGCGTGGGCCGCCGCGCTCGCGGCGGCCCTGGCCCCTCGCGCGCTGAGTTCTTCTGTGCAGGATGCGCGGGGGCCGCCGCCCGCGGCCGCCCATTGCGCTTTGTGTTGTGTTGTCCCATGCAAGATGCGCGTAGGCCGCCGCGCGCGCGGCGGCCCGTGGCCCCTCGCGCAGTGTTGTTTTTGTCATTGCAAGATGTGCGTGGGCTGCCGCGTGCGCGGCGGCCCTGGTTCCTCGCGCATTGTGTGTTTTCCATGCAGGATGCGCGTGGGCTGCCGCGCACGCGGCAGTCCATAGCCCCCTCGCGCACGGCGCTCTTCTACACAAGGTGACGGCGGGCCGCCGCGCGCGCGGCGGCCCAGGCACCTCGCGCATTGCTTTCTCTATGTAAGATGCGCGTGGGCTGCCGCGCGCGCGGCAGTCCATGGTCCCTCGCGCACGGTGTTCTTCCATGCAACGTGCCGGTGGGCCGCCGCGCGCGGCGGCCCACGGCCCCGCGCGCGCTGTGTATTTCCATGCGAGGCGCGCGTGGGCCGCCGCGCGCGCGGCGACCCATGGCGCCTCGCGCATTTTGTATTTCCCGTGCAAGGTGCTCGTGGGCCGCCGCTCGCGCGCGGCGGACCATGGCTCCTCGCGCATTGATTTTTTCCATATCGGAGGCGCGTGGGCCGCCTCGCGCGCGGCGGCCATGGCCCTTCGTGCATATTGCCTTTTCATATAAGGTGCGCGTGGGCCGCCGCGTGCGCTGCGGCAGGTGGCCCCTCGCGCATGGCGTTTTTCCATGCAGGATGCGCGTGGGCCTCCGCGCGCGCGGCGGCCTTGGCCTTTCTCGCATGGTTTTTCTAGACAAGATGCGCGCGGGCCGCCGCGCGCGCAGAGTTTGGCCCCTGCGCGTTGCGTTTTCCCATGCAAGATGCGCGCAGGCCGCAGCGCTTGCGCGGCATCCCAGTACCATTTGCGCATCGTGATTTTCCATGCACGAGGCGCGCGGGCCTCCGCGCGCGCGGCAGCCCATTGGCTTTCGCGCATTGTATGTTCCATGCAAGGTGCGCGTGGGCCGCCGCGCACGTGGCGGCCCTGGCACCTCGCGCATTTTGCGTTTGCCATGCAAGATGCGCGTGGGCCGCCGCACGCGGCGGCCCACGCGCATTGTGTGTTTCCGTACAGGATGCACGTGGGCCGCCGCGCGCGCGGCTGCCCATGGCACACTCGTGATTATGTTTTCCATACAGGATGCGCGTGGGCCATCGCTCGCGCGGCGACCCTGGCCCCTCGCGCATCGTGCGCGTCCCTGCGAGATGCGCGTGGGCCGCCGCGCGCGCGTCGGCCCCTGGCACACTCGCGCATATGGTTTTTCCAGACAAGGTGCGCGGGGGCCATCACTCACGCGGCGGCCCGGGCCCCTCGCGCGTTATGTGTTTCCATGCGAGACGCGCGTGGGCCGCCGCGCGCGCGGCGGCCGTTGGCCCTTCGCGCTTTGCGTTTGTCATGCAATGGTCGCGTGGGCCATCGCGCGCGCGGCGGCCCTTGGCCCCTCGCGCGCATTTTTTTCCCCCGATGCAGGATGCGCGTGGGCCGCCGCGCGCGCGGCGGCCAATGGCCTTCGCGCGTTGTGTTTTCCCATGCAAGATGCGCGTGGGCCGCGGCGCTCGCAGCGGCTCTGGCGCCTCGCGCACGGTGCTCTTTCCGCGCAAGATGCGCGTGGGCCGCCGCGCGCGCGGCGGCCCTCAATCTGAAAGTCGCGATGCTGGCCTGCGAACTCAAGTGAACCCGCAGCGGTTGCCGATTCGCGTTCCAACTCAACATGCGGTCCTTACGTTTTCGTCCACCGATGCAGCCTACAATGCGCCGACGCGCCCGCGCGCGCGGCGTGAATCCGCAGCCGTTGCAGATTAGATTTTCCACAGATAATGCGGCCTTTACGTTTGGCAGTCGTCCATTGGTGCAGCCTACAATGCGCCGGCGCGAGCGTTCGCGTGGCGGTTTCTGTTTTGTCCGCAATAGGAAAGTCGCCGTGATGGCCTTGGAACTAACAGGAACCTTTTGCGGTTACCGATTGGTCTTTACGCCTTCGTCTGTTGGTGCAGCCTGCAATGCGCCGACACGCGCGCGTGGCGGTTTCTGCATGGTCAGCAATAGGGAAGTCGCCGCGCCAGCCTGGCAACTAAAGTGAGCCCTTAGCGCTTGCTGATTGGAGCTCCAAGCTTAACATGCGGTCCTTACGCTTGAGCATCTTGGTGCAGCCTACAGTGCGCCGACGCGCGCGAATGGCTATTTCTGTGTACCCGCAATAGGAAAGTCGCCATGCTGGTCTGGGAACTAGAAGTCAACCCGTAGCGGTCGCCGATGAAATTCCCCACGTAGCATGCGGTCTTTCCGTTTCCGTCCACTGGTGCAGCAGACAATGCGCCGACACGCGCGTTCGCGTGGCGGTTCCTGTTTTGTCCGCGATTGGAATATCGCCGCGTTGGCCTGCGAACTGAAGCGAACCTGTTCTAGCGGTTGCCGATTGGGTTTCCGAGTTGGGAGGCGGTCTTTACGTTTTCGTTGGTCGGTGGAGCCTACAATGTGCCGGCGCGCGCGTGTGACGTTTTTTTGTTCTGTTCGCTATGGGAAAATCGCCATGCGTGGGTCACCGCATTCTGGGCGCCCCCCTATGGATGCCCAGAGTTCACTCACCAAAGTTCATTCTGGCGAGGGCACTCTGGTGAGGCGATGGGGCTGAGAGCGCACTCATGGTGGGTGCGCGCGCCGAGCGTCGGTGCTGAATGTCGGCGCCGAGTGTGGCTGCCGAGTGGGGGCGTCCCGGCGGTCCGGTTTGCCCCGCCTTCCTTTTGTTTTTGTTTAAATGCGCACTACAGCGCCGTGAATAATTAGTTGCCCCCCCAGACTGTTTTTTGTTTTGACGGTTTTATAACACTTGCGGGAACTTGATGGAGATGCCCGTGGATTTTGCAGCGACTCTTGGGGATCACGGTCGTTGGGGTTTGCCGCGGTATCCTTGCCGACGCCACGGACGGCGCGACGGTAGTAGCGTACGGCCCCTGACTTGATGACTTGGCTGTAACTAGTTGGCGGTGCGCCCTGGGGGGGAGTGAGAGGGGGCGGGGCTTCCCAGAAGGCGCCGGGGTTTCCGAGGCCGCCTGCCCCGTCTCACTCCTCCCTTGGGCGCGCCGCCGAGTTTGGTTTTCGGGTCATAACTGGGGCCTCCGACGGCCACTCGGGACGACCCAGGCACGCCATGAGAGGCGCAACTGCTGGAAAACACCCCAGGGTTGGACAACCTGCAGCAACCGACGGAAACACCAGAAATCGCAGAACATGCAAATGTGAGGAGCGCTTCATCGATGCCCCAGTTCGGCGGGGAGCGATGGGGGAAAGTGAAAAGGAGGAGGACTTCTCAGAAGGCTCGGAAGTCCCCCGGCCTTCTGAGAAATTTTCTATGCCTTCCCGAGTACAAAGAAAACATCGGAGGCCTTCTGAGAAGCCCCGCTGCCTTCTGAGAGGACCCCCTCCTTTTCATTTCCCCCCTTCACTCATGGGAGGGATTGTGTCAGTGGAGCCAACAGTACACACTCGAGATCGTAAAGCACCATGTGCTACGACACTTGAGTTTCGGCGTTCCGGCGCCCCCGCCGAACTCTTACAGGGCCGCCCCCCGCCAGTCCAGTCCAGTCCAGTTCCTTTTCGGAGGCGGAAAAGAGGGGGGTGATGACTAGGGGGGGGTGGATATCATGGCGTGGGCCATGATATTTCCCCAGATGTCATGGCGCCCCTTCTTATTTCATTACGTCCCTGGCCCCCCCGCTGGGCCGCGCACATGCCGCCGGTCATGATTTGCACCCCCCCCTCTTGGACACCCCCCTCTTGGCCGCTCCCGACTCATCGCCGATCGATGCCCCGCTGCTGCGCGAGGCCACACCGAGAGGCACCCCCTGGCTGCCGGGGTCGGCGGCGCCGCGCCGGCGATGGCTGCTGCTGCTGGCGCCTCCCAGGTGCCCGCCCCCTGACGCCCCCACGTCGAGCCGGCAGGGGCGGTTCGGAACAGTAGGACGAGGAGGCCGATCGCCACGAAGGGCGAGGAGGAGGACTATGAAGACGAAGAGGAGGAGGAGGAGGAGGAGGAGGAGGAGGAGGAGGAGGAGGACGGTGTGGAGGACGAGGAGGAGGAGAAGCACGGTGTGGAGGAGGAGGAGGAGGAGGAGGAGGAGGACGAGGATGCGAAGAGTAGGGTTCCTATGCCGCCGTATTGTCCAGAAGCCACGCATGACGAGCGAATGGATCCTGGGGGTAGGCCCCGGGATACGGGGCCCAGTTTCCGCGGGGCCCGCGCTCCTTCGAGTTGGAGCGACCACGACCAGGACGAGAAAAAGAGGAGACTGAGGACAAGGGCTCCCTCGAGGGCGCGAAGTTATTCGCGCTTCGCGCTTCGCGGTCCTCGTTTCTCCTCCCCCTCCTCCTCGTCCTCCTATTCTCCCTTTGGGGGGGCGGCGCGAGAGCGCGAAGTTATTCGCGCTTCGCGCAGCGCGAAGCGCGAAGTTGGGAGCCCTAGTTGCTCTTTCCGGGAGAGATTGTGTTTGTGTGTGCGCGTGCGGCAAGAGTTGGGGGCGGCCATGAGGGGGGTGATGACTACAGTCAAACACCCGAATAAGGACGCGCGACTTTGCTGAGGGTGCCCCTGGCGTCCTTGCTCTTCCTTGCTCTTGCGTCCTTGAGGTGTTCGTCGTCCGCCGCCCCGAAAATCCCAACTTCGGCTTCCAGGGGTCTTGCGTCCTTACCGCGCGTCCTTATTAGGGTTTTTGACTGTAGGGGGGGGGGTACCATGGCCAGGGCCATGATATCTCCTCATTTGTCAGGGCCCCTTTTCTGATTGCGATACGTTCCCTGCCCCCCCCTCTGGTCCGCGCACGTGCCTCGGGCCATGATTTGCACACACTCCTCTTGGACGCCCCCTTCCTGGACGTCGCCGAAAGAGACAGAGGGAGATGGGGCGGAAGGGGGAGGGGAGGAAGAGGGGAGGGGAGGGCGAGAGGCGAAGAGGAAGAGGGACCAGGATGAAAAGGGGTTGGGAGGTAGAGGAGCGGGGAGCAAGAGGGGTCGGTATGAAAAGGGGTTGGAGCCTGTTTTTCTTTATATCCAGGCAAGCTTACTTGCATGGCGTTCGCCCCCCCCCCCTCGCCCCTCTTCAATCGAACACGAGCGTGCAAGCGCCTTTCGACTTGCGTGATTTCCGCACGTCGAATTGTTTTCGGCTTGCTTCAGACTCAGCCCCCCCCCCCGTCCATGCAAGTAAACTTGCCCGAATCCAAAGAAAAACAGGCTCTTGGGAGGACCAGGGGCGGGGGTAAAGAAGGGTGGGGATGAACCGGGGTTGGGAGGAAGAGGGGCGGGGAGGAAGAGGGGGGAGGAGCAGGGCAGGCGCGAATCCAAGACGCATCAACGGAAGGTCCCTGACATAATTTAATGTCACTGCGGGAAGTGGCCCATTAGAAGACAACCGTTTAAGAATCTTCAATCGTGGCAAGACAGCGTTCCTCGGGTTCCGACGCGGCGGATCAACGTGGGAATAATGCCTTGGCAATCCCGAATCGCACCAGAACGCCATTCTTGGGACTTCATCACCGCGAATCAGCGTGGCTGCTGCGCCCTGACAGACCCAGGCCGCGCCAGCATAGCATGCCTGGGACTTCGGCCACACGACTCCTTAGAAAGCGGCTGCAGAGGTGCAAGGCGAGGAGGGGCTGAGCTGAGGCGACAGCCACGCTCTGGTAAGGAGCTGCCCTCCATCCCTGCAGCGGCGGCAAGCTTTGAGGACGAACGTCCGCGGGGCTGGAGCAGCATGTTGAAAGTCGCCCGCCCTCCATCCGTGAACCTGTCGCAAGCTGCAGTCGGGGCTCTGAAGAAGGATTCCTTTTCGTTTGGCAGGGGCTCAGTGTTCCTTAGTTGTTTTGCAGCTCGACTTAGGTCTTCCTTAGGTCTTCGATCGGAATTCGAAGCTTAACTTATGGAAACAAGGGGGCTCGTTCCTTCTTTAGGGTTCCTTAGATCAACGCCCCGATTGTATCGGGGCGACTGTGCGCGGCAGGCTGCAGCGAGGGCCACACGTTTCGAAGAGGTTCCGCCCTCACTCCGCGAAGCTGCCACAGATTCGTACGACGAAGTTGTGCGCGGCGCTTAAGGCGACAGCCACACGTTGAAACGAAACGCCCTCCATCCGTACAGTTGCTGCGCATTTCGAAGACGGATGTGCGCGGCGCTGAGGCGACAGCCACATTTTGAACACCACCCGCCCTTCAGCCGTGACAGTGTCGCAAACTTTTCGGACGAAAGTGCGCAGTCCTAAGGGGAGAGCCGCATGTTGAAGAGGTCGCGCTCTCCATCCGTACAATTGCTGCATATATCAAGCTTCCAGGTC